ATTATTATATATATATATATATAAACTTAATATATATATATATATATCTATATATATATCTATATATATATATTTAAAGATATTCTTTAATCAAATCCGCAAATCGATACGTGAACGCATCACGTTCGTGGGAGAAATGAGAGAAATGCGAGGCGTCCCGCATATTGGCCGATCTATGCAAATATTTTACATTAATAATTTCGGTGATATTTGATATTGATCGATCAAAATAGAGACATCTCGTGCGCAAGCATACATATTACACACACACACATACACATATATTTGTGTCGAATAATATCATAAACAAGCTAGGATACTATTACCGATCGTTTCGCGATTAATGCGGAACACGAAAAGTGATGATCCCCATAAGAGTAAAAATAGAGCATGTTATTTTTCAACACTTGGTCTGCAGGCGGATTGAATTACGTAATGTACCCGCTGTGTAACTCCTCTTCAAATAATTACGGCTAGAACAATAACGTCTTTCCCGAAATCTCTGACTCCGAGACGCGCGCGCATTTACGTACACGTGTGCGATGTTGATAGAATAGAGTTTGATTTACATCTATCTATATATATCTCTCTGCGTATCCTCCCTCGACGAGAGTGCCGACAATGTGCCAGAAAATAAAGTACTATTTATTATCCATATACATAACATATTGAGAAAGGAAAGATATATATACTATGCATATATATATACATATATTATATATAGAAAAATTTATCTGTAGAAAAAAAAGCTGGACAAGGTCCCATAGACTTCAGCGGTGTAAATAAGTCTCTCGATTTTTCTCACGTCAAAGTATTCGTTACAAGGATTTCCACCGGCAAACTTTGCTCATGAATTCTTCGCGCAATTTAGAATCGATTTTTTCTTAACAAAAATATAAGACGAAACCGAAGAATTTTTTCAATTATAAGCAATTAAAAAAATTTCAGTCTTCTATTTTTTCAATTAAATATCTTATCCGAGATATTTAATCCTTAAAAATTAAAGAACGATCTTAAAATTACATTTTTGTAAAGAAAAACATCTGTTTCACAAATTCCTCGAGGAATTCGTAGATGCAAAATATCTTGTATACCTTCGCCAGAAGAAAAATACGTGCTCTTTTACATTATAATCGACTCTTTTTTATCGTGATTTGAATGTATAGCGATCTTTATTAGCTGTTGACTATAGTAGTTGTTATTGCACAGGGCAAAGCTATAAATTTTATGGCTCGATTGATGTTACGAGAGGAAACGGTGTGGAGTTGCCGAATTGTTGAACCACGATATTGCGCAAACGCTGGTTAGAGCCGAATGTTCGATTATCACTTTTACAAAACTGTCATTCGTATAATCGGACTGTCCGAATAATCGAGCATTCGGTCGTTAACAATAAGATGCGCTTTTTTTTCTGTGGGATCTTGTCGCTTGTCTTGGTAGGAAAGAAAAGAAAATATTCTTCTATGTGCCGTACTTATATCGATAATAATGTTTATACTCGTGTCAGTGTCAATCCTCAGCCGTTTAACAGTTGCGACGCGGGTTATTCACTACGGATACTTTCTTTCGCATTTGCACCCCCCTTTCGAATCTACCGTTCGGTGCGATCGAAAGATTGTCTTCGTCGACCGTCTCGCGCATTATTACACCTTAAACACAGGCGCGTATAATGTTAACGAAGAGTGCGCTCGTCGATTATTACATTTAAAAAAATCTCATGTGTGTATAAAAGAATATTTCTCTTTCTATTCGAACGTAATAGAAATTCGACTGACAAAATTCTATCAATAATTAGGCTCGATATTTGCCGAACATACGTAACGTTGATAAGTTTTATGAAATATATATATATATATATTATACATAAATTTTTGATTGTTTTATACGTATATTAATATATAGACAAAGTCTTCTTTCGCGCCAGTGCTTAAGGATTGAAAGAGCTTCGCGCTAACTCATGCGTTCCACATATGTGCACGATAACGTTATTTAATTTTTTATCATGAATATTGTTGGACTCGAAACGTCTTTCGGAATCAACGCGACTGATTTAGCGATTTATTTAGCAATTACTCGCGTTCTTTCCGTTCATTTCTCGTTGAAGGAACGAATTTCGTACCTTGTAGAAACTGTTCACCGCGCGACGGTTGTTAGAACGAGCATGATATTGCGAATGAAACAAAATGTACTTTCGCGTATCGCGTCGATATGTAAGGAAAATGTTAAAGGGAAACGTTGCGAGTAGTAAAGAGAAACACAAAGCGAACTGAAAAATGGCAGCACAAACAGAATCGTTACTCGGTTATTACATATATATATGTTGCGTTTATAGATACATATATATACATATATATATATTGCGCACATTGTTATAATTCAAAACAGTGCGGAGACAAGACTTACCTGTGACGTGCCAGGCGTTCTGCATCTCTTCTCGGTTAAAGACTTCTTCACGGATTTGGAATGAATTCTAAGCGCAATTGGCTTCCTCTTCTTCGCAATTATTTGATTTAACAATTTGATTTACTATTTGATTTAATTTCATTAACACGATTAACGCAATTCTTCTCTAATTAACAACGTTAAGTGACTTGTCGCTAACACAATTAACATCAAGTTGTTTAATATCGTTATTTAGATATGAAAAATATCTTACGATAAGTATTTTACGATTTTCGTTTGCAATTCTAAAAGAGTGGTTAAGATTTTGGGATTGGAATCGTGTTCAGGTAGCGGAGAAGAATACCGAAGGACAGAGCGTTAGGTGATAAATTGTTGTTACTAAGTTAGTGTCTGTATTTGTATCTTTGTTCTTCATTGGTGTTACGTATGATAAGATTTCACGGCGAATTTACGGTCGATCAAAGAAGCCGCTTCGCATTTCAACTTCCGCATCGAGAGAGAGAGAATGTTTAGAGTTATTCGTACCTAGTCAAACTCGATAACGAATGTTAGTGCCCTTTTTGTCGATTTGTGTCGATGGTTTCCGCCGTTTTTGCATTTCACGTATTTCCATTATTAAAGTCGTCACGGCGATTTAATCTTCCGACCAAATTACACTAAAAGTTTTCTCTAAGTACTTTCTCTTTTCTTTTAATTTATAGATATCTGCTAGTTTTTTTTCTGTTTGCTCCTCTTGTCTTATTGCTGCATTTCATTCCGTAGAAACGCGTTGAAAAAAATGTTAGATTGATCAAGAGATTTTTTCTTCTTCGCGTAAAAAAAAAAGAATGAATTTGTTTTGATTAATCTAATAATTATTATTAGAATGCACCAAAGGAATGCGAAATAATACATATTGGCTGACGGAAAAGTTTCCACTCTTTCATGGACCACGAACACATATTGTACTCTTTTCTACTACTCTAACTAAACAGACTGACTATCTTTTGGATACCTATTACGTGTTTAATGGCGTTTTCAATCGAAGCAAACTTTAATAAATAATTGTCTCGTCGAGAAATTTCTTTGGATTCTCTCAGAGAGTTTCGCATTGAAATCAAAATATTCAATTACTTTTTCGCGAACAATAAGGGAAAAAATGAACATCGTGTTAAAAGTAAAACTTCGCTCTTAGAGCAATCGATATTCGCTTCGCTCGAAAACGCCATAAGCGACGCTCGCTATCGTTTACAGAGTGACTGCGAATCTAAGATTGAGCGTGTGACTGATACTTCTAAACTGTACCCATGAGTGTATATACAATAAGCGATTAATCGTGCGTATGTAAAACAAACTCGAGAAAGCAATCAAGTGGTCGTACCTTTTATTTGCGATACATTCGTATTTTTACTTTTTACTTCCATTCGTTCTCGGTGTGTTAAATGAATTTCAAGGCGAGTTTCAAACTCGCTTTCGTGCCAGAACTTTGTTTCTTACAATTGGACGATCGACAATCGTTAATAAATAACTGTATTGCGTTGTTACAATGTCGTTTCACCGGTACCATTTGTCTCCATCGCGGTACAACCACTTCGTTAGCGTATGTTCGTTATGGTTGTCACATGAATAATTTATAGTTTTTAACAGATCGATGTACAAAGAGATACTTACGTTCCACCGAACGTCGTCTTCTGATATACAATTACTATGCATTTTGAATATGTTAGTGGAAGATGTCTGACCTTTAACGAGAAGTCCTAGTTGGTTGTGCAGCAATAAATAAATTAATATTTACGTACAAAGTGTCTTGGCGATTTATTCAAGCGGGTATTAGTGTTAAATTTCACATTTAGGGCGCCGATTTTCTTATTTATTTCTCACTCCATCTGTCTTAAATTGCTTACATTTTATTAAAATGAGATTGCAAAAATAATTTCTTATTCCGAGAGAGGTAAAATATTCAGAGATTATAATCTTAAATATGCATTTTCACGCTCCGATCAGCAAATGCGCTGGGTTCTCTACGTAATACTTCCACAAATTGGAGAACCTTGCCACCGTGACACCGTCGAGGACGCGATGATCCGCGGACCAACTGACGGACATTATGTTGGCCGGAATCACGTTTCCCTTCTCGTCGAATCGCGGCACCCTCTGCGCCTTCCCAAACGCGCCGATTATCACTTGCGGCGGCAAAATCATCGGCTTCGTATACGTTCCACCTATCTATTATATCAATAATTTACTATGACAACTATTTAATAAATAAGAAGGAAAAGCAAAGTTTTTGATTAGAGCTTAAACAAGATTTCAATATTTTATGTGTCTGAATTATTCGAGCAGTTCAAAGTAAGAAATTTCGGACAGATCGAACAGTTTGAAACATATCTAGCTCGCGAAAAATTCGAACTATTTGATCTCGAGACTACTTGAAATTTTCCAACGCAAATAATAAAATAATAATAAATAAATGATTTTTTACATTTCCGCTCGAATTTCCGGAGTAGATTAGCAAACGAGAAGGAGAAATCGAAAATTGCATTTAATTTTGCATGCCGCGGATACGCTAAATCCAAAGAATTTTCGTAAGGTTCCGTGTTTTCCGGATATGAAAAATAAAATATTTACTTTACGTTTTAGAGCGTTTCAATAAGTAATTTCGTGCAAACTGTGAATTGGCACTTTTCCGTCGAAAATAATATTCTAATATTTATCACGATTTATGGATTTATCAGTTTTTAATAATGTTTCACGATTTCTCGCTGCCGTAATGAATGTCGCCGTGCGAAGGTGATAGCAAGGTGATAGCGCGCAAACAATAGCGCATGTATATCATAGATCGTAAAACGGAAAAAAACTACCACCGAGTTGAACCTTGAAGTATTTCAGTGTTAGTTCGCGACGCGTGTAGGTGTGTTTACATTTCTTGCGATCATAAAGCTTATATATCTGAAGACGCTTTTGCTTTCTCTCCCGTGTAGAATCGAGAGAAAGAAAGAGAAAATAATGTTTTCCATCTTCTTGTCTTTCTCCAAGTAATTATTCACGCTTGTGGAAGAGATAGAAAAAGAAGAACAGAAAATATATCCCTCTCTTACTCACAATTGGTTACAAGATTTGAGCTGCGAGGCGTCTTCAAGTATATAAGCTCTATGCTTGCGATCTAAGAAGCGTGCGTACGCGCGTGGTATTTGCCTGTTTTCATTCCTCCCATCCTGACGGGCAACTCAAGCCGATTATCCTCGCGATAGATTTATAAATCATAAAGCCAGTACAGTCGCGCGAGAGATTATATTTTGGCAATTACTGCTTGCGTCATCGATTAATTGTGTTTTAGTGAATGAGTGCCATAAAGCAGCGGTCAACAATGGACCAAGGAAGTCCGGAAGGCATCTGGCATCGGCGGAACAATTTTGCAAGGTAACTGATTTATTATTTATCCATTTTTTATTTACTTGTGAGATTTCAATTATTTATTTTTGCAGTGGTATTTCGCAATTACTTTCGATTTACTGCATGTACATCATATTACACGATACGAACGATGCGAAATGCCACTACAAAGATAAACAATAAATATCTCAAAACCTTCGAGTATTTCATTAAATATTTATATTTATAAGCAATTTCGTAATTCGAACTGCTCGACCGCCTGAAATTTTTAAGCATTAATTTGAAGACGAGAATAGAGTAAAGGCAAATTTTGTCATTGAAAAATGACAATTGCTTAACTGCGTTCTAGTCAACGATAAAGACATGATTTATTTTGTTAGAGAGAAACTATTTTGACGTGAAATTCCTACTTATCCATTATCCGTATTTACGAGAGATCCGTATTTATCTCGTATTTGACGGAGATGTAGAATCACATCCATTTTTCGACGAACTGCCGTTTGGTTTACATCTATATTAATTTTCAATTTTTAATCTATAACTGGTGAATTAAAAATCCTGTTTCGTGCATAAATTTAATTAATTATATTAAAATAAGATATATAATGAAAATATTTTATTCGACAGTATATTTTTTGTTAATTATGAATGATTTTTGTAAAGCATAATTTGTTTGTGATAAAATCCCTGTGAATTTGCCGCGATAGCGTAGCACAATTGGCTGGCACGCTATGTGAGATCTAGAAAAGCTCGTTTCTCGCAATACTCGAATAAATAAAAAATTAATATAAGTATGTGGCGTGCGTTTTTTGCAAGTAAATAAAAAAAAAGTAAATATACGTACAATACGCGGTTCCGCGTGCGCCGTTAGACGATCGCGTGGCTGCGATCTATACTCGTAAGCAAAATTCTCTGGGTAGGATATATTACAGCGAGGAGGTGCCTCCCTCTTGCCACCCACTCAGAGGGTTAGGATGGGTGTAGTGTTGGCATGTGTTTCATTCGGGTGGTTCTACATGAGACTGGCATTTTTTTAATATTCCTCGGTTCTTATTAAAGTTGGTTATTAGTCGCGATGTGCCTTGGTCTATTTATATATTTGTTGTTTTGATGTAGACGATTTTTTATTATTATTTTTTTAATTTAGTAACCGTAAAATCCCGTCTCAAATAATATTTTTTCTACGGAGAAAAATGATATATTAAAAACTTTTACCACAAAAATCATAAAATTTAATTGTTGTTTCGTTACTATACTTTAATATAAAAAATATCGAATAAAATGCATTCTCTATATATTTTATTTGAATTTCTATATTACATGTATTTTAACATGATTGAAGAAAATTTATTAAATATTTTTGAAAAATTTTGATAGGCGCGATAGATTCGTTTCGTGTATCAATAAAAGTAATATATTTAATAGTGTAATTAAATTCGCACACGAAACGCATTTCTGATTCATTATTTGTGGATGTAATAGGCTTATATATACATAGCTTTTAGCTTCTCTCTGATATTCCGTTTATGATTGATTAAGTGATGAGATTTTAACTAGCCACTCTAGGCTAGTGTCTACACTACTTTATCTTGAGAATAAATATTGCATACTTACCACGCCTATGTTCGATAACGAGAACGTCGTATCGGTTAAATCGTCGAGTGGTATCGACGTCTGCTTGCCGAGCTTCTGTAGCCTGTTGAGTTCCTTTGCGATCGCGACAACACTGAGATTCTGCACATTTTTGATATTTGGCACCACCAAGCCTTCCGGCGTGTCCATAGCGATCCCGATATTGTGATTATCGAGAATTCGCAACGTCTGACTCTCCTCGTCCAGCCAGGCGTTTAATTTGGGGCACTGCTCCAACGCTCTCGAGGCCGCCTTCACGAAAAACGGCATCATAGTCAGAAGGACGTCTCTATCTTTTAAAGAGTCCTTCACTTCGTTCCGACAGTGCATCAATCGGTCCACGTTGCACTCGTCGCTGTACACGAAATGCGGTATGCTCTGTTGAAAAAGAGATTAAATTATGCGGCATAAAATTTAGTCGTTCATTGAAATCGAAGCTAATTATTTTCGGCATCTCGATGACTCACCAAAGACCTCGTCATAGCTTTCCACATATATCTCGAGTATCCCTTCGGTTCGATCGTCCTCCCCGTTATAGTCTTTTGCGGAAGAGTTCGTGTCGTTTTCGCTTCCGAAGTCGTGGAAACTTTTTGCAAGTGCGCCAGTATGTCTTCCTTAAGCACTCTTCCTTGTTTACCAGTCGCTATTACATCCTTCAGCTTTATATTGTTTTCCATGGCTATTCTCCTCACTGCCGGAGTCACTAACGTCTTTTCTAGAACATTATTCCGCGATTCCGCTTCATCTGTTTGCTTCTCCTTATCGAAACTGTCAACCATCTGGCTCTCGGCGCTGCTTTCAGTGTCTCGCGCATCTTCGGTGTCCTTTGAGTCGTCGTCTATTTCGATATCCAGCAGCGCTGTCCCAACCATAGCGACATCGTCCACCTTAAAGTGCAAAGCTTTGATAAGACCGTCGTAGCGGCTCGTAATCGTCACTGACGCCTTGTCGCTCTGCACCTCGCAGATGTCGTCGAACTGGCTCACTCGATCTCCCGGTTTCACGAACCTGAAATATCAAATGAACGAGGAATTCGTAAAATATTATTACGTGTTATTTTAAAATAATTTTTCAGCTATACTGCATTATATGATTTTCTATATATGTTTTCCAATTGAATCTGAAAATGCTATGACAATCTGTCTGTCGTCAAAATGATCAAACTTTCTTGGGCCAAGAATCAATATCTTAACGTACCATTCTTTCACCGTGACGTCCCGAATTCCTTCGCCGATATCCGATAATTGAAAGGGTACCACTTTGCCAGAGCAAGTCGAGCTGGTTGATAAAAATCGACATATCGGGTCGCGTGATCTTCCGGCCTGCGTAAACAGAAGTTGTATTGACACACAGTGCGCTCTCGATTTTAATCCGCGGATTAAAATAGACTACTGCCAAGCCAGCAAGCCAGTTTTAATCAATTCAAATATACAGAACAGTGTACCGACTTATTTACAAAAGTGCACTTCCTGTTTTGTTCAGTTGATTATTTTACTTATTCAAACTGCATGAATAATATTGTAATATGCACCACATTATTTTTTGATGACGAATATTTTGAATTATCTACTTTTAACAAAGGTATGCTACATTTCTTTTGCTGCTCTTTTTCGATAGTGATTAGTTATCTCGATTCTGATTAGTTATCTCGATGACGTGTGTGATTTCATAGTCGAGCGGCTATTATTACAAAGATAATGATCTGTGTCTTTTGACAATTTATATGTTAAAACAAAAGTTAGAAACGGTTGGCGTAATTTAATATTAAAATAAATTTTTGTTGTTAAATTAAATACAAAAGTTTATATCAATTTATCTTTGAAAAATCACGTTTGTTCCGATATTGCATCAAAAGATATCACATGTTGAAGGTAATAAATTAAATCATTTTTATCGTTTATCTAATAATAAATATTTAATTTATTGAAATATACATACAATATTTCCAAGGATAGATAACGTGAGCATAAAGTGCATTTCGTAGTATTCAAGATTTTTATGAAGTTAATTTTGATCATCACATTGTTACAAGCTCCGAATTGCGATTAAATTACAAAAAAAATTCCACCGAAAATTAGATGAAAAACGCAACTCTGTTATCCATTCGGCTCTTTGATGTTAAACTCACTTTTCATTTTGAGTTCATAGTTCGGAAAAAATTATCGGCGCTTTCACAGTTTCACTAAACCAATTTCAAATTAATGGAAGAATCTGTCGTCAAAAAATAATACGGTAGAAACGAGATTTTCATGACGCGGTTAATGAACGTACTTGCAAAATTTATTGCACAATCACTCTTGGCTCGCGCTAAAACGGATCGAGTTGCATTTAAAGTCTCCCGTCGCGTTGGCAAGATGTCAAAGTTCACAGCCGGCTTGCCGCTTATCGATGTCCGACGCGGACACGCGTGACGTTCTACAGGAACATTCGATCTCGTGTTTTTTCATTCACGCGGATCTTTCACCCCGCAAATGTATTCACTCGAATATATTTTACGTACCAGTCGCGCGATCATCAGCAGCCGCCCAGAGAGAGCCATTGACTGTAGTTTTATCCGATCTGCCGAGAAAAAGAGCAGCTCGTGGAGCACACGAGAACGCGATTGTACTCGCACTATTGATACGCGGCTGTTATCGTCATGTGTGTTCATGAAAGCATGTTTATTTATGACGAATGAAGCAAGCGGCGCAATCGAGTCGTGATTATGTAATTAATATGATAAAACCCGTTGATAAAATGCACGACGTCAAACACACACCTCCAGTTGGACACGAGCGTCGCGCGATTTCAAAGATGAACGATAACAATCGATGGCGTAACACGATAAAGAAGTGTGCACAGTTACTTAAAAAGTTGATCGAATTTTGAAAAAATCTATAAAATTATTAAGTTGAGACTAGCACGAGAAATATGTCGGAATGTCTTTCGGAGCACGAGACATTTCGCTTGCTGAAGATATCGATTCGGTGTTCTCGATGCTTCCGCTGCCTTTTCGACTTAGACTGATATAATGTAAAGGGACCGTGTAACAGATAATGCTCAAAAAAAGGAGGGAGAGATATATATATATATCGTCATAGGCGTCGAGCATCGAAATTTTGTACTTATTTTCTCTGTTTCTTTAATTTTCACCAGTCATTTGTTAAGGTGACGCTGAAAATTACGTTTTTATTTATTATACGTCTAAATTGCATTATTCATTTATTTTGCCTATTTTTTTTTTTTTATTATTGAAAGATGATTGCGATGATGAGATTGTTACATGAAAAATTGAACGCGAGATTACATCCCCGGTTCTCAGATGGATAGAAGGTGGAAATAAATCACACTCCCGACACGCTATTCAATAATTGTTTTATTCCAGGTCCAATCTATCTTTCTCGCCGCGCTCGTTACAATAGAAAAGATATCATTTTTTTTTGTACGTCGCTTTGGCTTCGGCGACCGCGGGAATTAATCGCCGGTACAATAATAACTGCTCTTCTTGCAGTCGCTCGCGAATTTGATCAAACGTTTGAAAAATTCTGTGAAACTTTTTAATTTAACAAAAAGGTAGAAAAGAGACGAAAAAGTGTATGTGAAAATGAATTTTTCAGCGGTGATCTTTATACGTGGTCTCGGAAGAAGATATGAACATGATACATTTGAAAAATAATGCGCTTTGCAATAATTTTTCGAAACGCTTGATCAGTTCCGTGGGTTTTGCTATATAATACATACGAAAAGGGGAGGTTGAGAAACAGCCGAGTCGAAACAATGCATTATCGATCAACATTCTTGATATACTGGAGTCCGATAATTGCGCACGCTTTAAATACATTTATTTATTGTCCGCTGTGTACGATTATCTCATCGAAAGGCGCTGATCAAGGGACGTTGAACGTCCGATAAACTAAACGAGTAATTAATGCGAAATCAGATTTACATCCCTAATGAAAATTATACTTATTGGATGAGGTGCTCGACTAGAATTAGTGGATCACTCGACATACACTTAATAAATGCACGTACACGTACGTATATATGCGTATTCTCTTATATGTGTCATTTACGCACGGCAACAGTAACAATAATGGCAACAGCGATTATGATAACGATCGATGATCTCGATATTTCTTTCTCGACGATATAGATCTTATGAACGATAACGATAACCGCGACGCGAGACGCTCAGCGTCTTCGCTGATGTTGATTTTTAAATTTCAACTCACAAGTATATCCTTTGAATAGTAAATCGAAATTGAAGAATCAACGCTAGTGATTCCACGTTAAATTTTCATTCTCTCCGGACGTGTCTCGCCGTCCAACGATTTAATTGATTATAATTTAATTACAAAGGCCGTGTCCGTGTGTGTCCGCGTGTGCACGCCTAAATAGCCATAAGCCTACAATTGCGCGACTTGCTCGTTATTAGGCTTGTCGTTGGTGGTGGTGTTGGACGTTAGCGAGATCTCGGTGACCCCCACGGACGTCTGCACCGCCACCGTCAGGGCACCCTGCAGGGGTACACTCTCGCTCGCCAATTCGCCTGTGTCTGTAAAATCAAGATTTTATAGCCGTCAGTTGAGAAAATACGAGAGCGAAGAGAAATTTGCATTCTTCAGTTATTAACATATGCTATTATGGTGAAATAATGAAGTCTTTTCATTAACTCGTCGACGTGTCGTTTTAAGAACGACAATTTTAATGCGAATGCAACGACAGCGGCGATAAATATATAGATCGTTGAAATGTAATCAATGAAGTCAAATATTTTGCAAACTAAATTGGATCAAATATTTTTCTTTTACTTCATGGCTGCCAGGGAAAAGTGATTTGATCGAAATAATTTTTGTCTATAGAATTTTCATCCCAAGTGATACTAAAGAGTCATTGCGTTGTATTTTTAAATAGGAATTTATTTTTAATTAAACTAATGTGAAATATTAATAATTCGGGATTCGGAAAATCGATAGTTTATGATTCATATTTCATATTTTATTTGAATATATTTTAGCGTAAAATATAAAATATCTCGCCAAGTGTTTACTTTTCGACAACTGTACCTCAATATTTTTGTATACGGAATTATACGCTTTACACGTTTCATTCCCAAAATGAGGAAATCGCCTGATATTACGTAATCACTATCCCCGTATGTAATGTAGAGCCGCGAGACATTTCGCCTCCGCAGTTTCCACATTTCCAAAATTTCCCTCGGATATAATCCACCTATAAATTTGCAAGAGCACAAAGCACCGGCAGTGGCACGTATTAACTTAATAATTTAGCGCCGCTTAGGGCGAAATCATCCCGGCGGCCATTAGCGCGCGCGCTCTGTAATCCCTTTCGTGATTGCATAGCCACTGCTGGACCGCGTAACCAGTAGCGGTTAATCACAAGCAACGGTAGCAATAACGATTTTCGTGCGTGAAATTCACCGATATCAATCGGCGACTGATAACAACTTGGGGAGGAAAAAAAGGGAAGGAGCGTAAGGCGAAGCAATCGTGAATGGGGCGTTTTTTGAGAGATAGGCGCGTTATAAATAAAGCTTTTAATAAACTAAAAGCTTTCTAAATCCGCGCGGATTGGCCCAGATTCCGGCCGAGGAGTTACATCGCCGCGTTACCATCGAATATCAAGCCGTCGCGTCGCGTCTCGCGTATCGATTACTTTCTTTCGAGCGAAAGCGACGAAGCGATTCGTCGACTCCGGATCGGATGTCATATCGGATTTTACGATACAACGCTGAATCAGAGCCGGATTTACGCTGCAAGTCCTCCCCTAAAACCCATCTTGAAAGAGAAATACTTTTTTTGACGTTTATTATTATTGCCAGGCGATGAAGAAGCGACGCGACTAAGAAACGACGCGTTCCGCTTGCATCGCACACGATCCGACAATTAAGCTTGCAAGCGAAACCATCTAAAACTCATTTCTCCAAATTAATATTATCGCTTCCTTGTATCTTCCCTTTCGGTTTATTTTCCTTCCGGAAAATTTCTATCATCTCCTTGTGATTTTTTTCTGAAAATTTTTCAACAAGAAAACTGATACCGATTCGATGTGTTCTCTCGAAATATTATTCCACGGCTCCACTTTATTGAATAAACATACCAGGCAGCATTGTTTACACAGAAATAAAAGATAAACTACGTATCTCTCATCCGGTTTCGACGTCGCCGGGTTCGAGGGAAAAAAAAAAAATAATAATAGAGAAATATGTTTGCTTTAGTTAATTGTCGGATCGCATAGCCCGGGATTGCGAGTCTCGTGTTCGCCATTGATCGCGATCTCGCCACTTACATTTCGTCAATGACGATGCGCCGGCGCTGCTGCACTGCTTCTTGAACGTGCTGCCCATGTAGACCTTGCCGCGTATATTCTTGTCCGGCTGGAAGACGATAATGTAGACCTTGGGCGAGTACAGGCAGACGAGGGTGACGGACGCGCTCAGGCTGATCGCCACGCAGAGGGTCGTGATTTGCGTCTCGTGGGCGTTTCCGGTGCCGAAGTAGATTGGCACGAAGGCGAGCCAGATGATGCAGGTCGTGTACATGGTGAAACCGATGAACTTGCTCTCGTTGAAGTTCTCCGGGATCTTGCGCGTCTTCACCGCGTACACGGTCGAGATGAGGATCAGCAGGGCGTTGTACAGTTGCGAAAACAGGAAGCTCATATCCTGGATGTTGCACTTGAGGATTACCTCGCGGCGGTCCGGGTACCAGTATCTGGTGCCCGGCGGCTCGACGATCATCCACACCAGCGTGAGCACCACCTTGGGGAATCGATAACAAATCGTCTCTCTCTCTCCCTCCCCCCCCTCTCTCTCTCTCTACTACTACT